GCTGGGGGATTTAGAGCTGTGTCCCTCACTGAGCACAGGCTCTCTCTTTGCCCCTGCAGGAGGTGTTTCGGCAGCACTGGGGACTGCAGTTCCTGGCTCTGGTGGAGGAGGTGCTACCTCGGCATGGTAGCGGCCCCCACGGGGACTGGCACATCTCCCTGAGCAAGCCCAGTGAGAAGGAGCAGCACCTTCTAATGACCTTGGTGGGCGAGCAGGGTGAGCGGGGGGAGGGGCACCCACAAGAAGCTGGGGGCCTGGGGGGGGGCGTTGGTTTGTTTGGGGAGAGGGTCCAAGAAGGCAGTGGGAGGCGGCCAAACCAGCAGAGGTTTCCCAAGGCCATGAGAAAAGTGCAGCCAGCTAGGGCTTTTGGGTGTGGGATGGGCTTTTAGGATAGCAGGATGAGGTGCTGCTTGAGCCTCCTAGTTTAGGATCCACAAGTACCAACAACAAGCTTGAAGGCAGGAGAAGGAAGGTGGGAACACTGGGAATAGGAGGGGGAGAGTGTGGTTTCAGTACAGGTGCCAGACTGTGGCACTGTATGCTTTGTGGTGGGCTGAGAAGGAATGCAGACCTAAGGAGCTGTGGAAGTGACCGCCTGGGATCACACCTGTCACTTAGTAGTCACTCACCAAATCTTTTTAATGAGCCAGTCAGTGGGCAGCAAGCAGAGGAGCGAGTGGTTGTGTATACACCATGAGATCTGTGTGTGGACAAGAGCCAGGGAGTGAGGCTCTAGAAACTCAGGCCAGAGGCTGCCCAAGGGGACCAGGAGTCCGAAGGGGGAAACGCCTCAGTGGCCAAGGCTGGACTGATGATGCTGTCTCCCCACAGGGGTGATGCCCACTCAAGATGTCCTTTCTGTGCTGGGTGATATCCGCAGGAGTCTGGTGGAGGTAAGAGGGCAGGGACGAGTTCCCGTGCTGTTCCTTAGCTTCTGGATCCAGGCTACCTTCCCTGAGGGCAGGAGGGTGGCCTGCACCATGTGGAGCAAGGAGCAAAACAAACTCTTATTCTAGTCTCCTAAGGAGAGATAGAGTATATGAGCAGTTAGCTACCAACTGCACTGTGCATGGGACAGCCAGCCACCGCCAGGTGGGAGTTTTCTGGGTAGATAGTGGGAGAAACACTACTAGTATGTCTGGCCAAGGAACTGTTCAGAAGTCTGGTGGGTGGGAGCATGGGCTGTGGCTCCACAGGAGAAAGCAGAAGAGGCCTGGGCATTTTTTTTGAAACCATGGGAGTCTGTAGTGCTTGGCCAGCTGGGGTGCCAGCTGGGGTTGAGGGGCGGGGCTCAGGACACAGCAGACTGGCCTGCCTTCTTGCGATTCACCCTTGACCCAGCATCTGTCCTGTCCTGGAGACTGTGGCTGGGGAGACAGGCTAGCCACCTGTGCAGGGTGGAGCAGAGCCAAGGCTGATAGGAGGGGCAAGTCCCTATTGTTCCTCCTGTGTCCCATTCACTTCCCTTCCCGAGGACAGTCACCATCTCTAACAAAACCGCTTCCACTCATTGTGAAATCCAGTGATCTGTTATCAGTCCTCCTTTTTAAAAAATATATTTTTTTTATTGATTTCAGGGAGGAAGGGAGGAGAGAGAGAGACAGAAACATCAATGATGAGAGAGAATCATAGAAACATCAATAATGAATCACTGATTGGCTGCCTCCTGCACGCCCCCTACTGGGGATTGAGTCCGCAACCTGGGCTTGTGACCTTCACTGGAATTGAACCTGGGACCCTTTAGTCCACAGGCCATCACTGTCCACTGAGCCAAATCAGCTAAGGACAGTCTTCCTTCTTATTGAGGGCTATATAATATTTGACAGCAAAGATGAACTGTGCATGACTGTGGTTCACTCAAGGTGAAGAGGCGGATTCTTGTGGGGGTTCTGTTGGTTTTTGTTTGTTTGTTTGTTTTGTTTTATCAGCAGAACATATTGAATCCTTAGTGAGTGCCAGACGGGGCTCAGTTTCCTCACCACAGTTCCAGGGCTGTGAGCACAAGTAAGGCACCCTACTGAGTACCCTCGGTACTCCATTCAAGGTTAGAGCTGAAGCCCAGGAAGGTGGTGGCTCACCTGAGATTGCACAGCTAGTCGTAGGAGAAGAGCCAGGCTTTGAAGTAGGCCTGAATGACCCAAGACCCTGGTCTTTCACCACAACACTGTGTCTACACTAAGGACTGTTCCGCCTGTGAACGTCTTGGCTTGTGAACCCTGAGAGCTGGTGGGAACAGGCTGGCCCTGAACTTTTTTTATAGACTCTCCTGCCTCTTCTCCCAGTCCCTGGGTGCTCTGGCTTTACTGGACACTTCATGCTGACTGACATGGCCAAAAGCATGCCGAGCATTTGGAAGTGTATTAATGGTCAAATTTAGCAAGTTCTCACAAGAAAAATGGACCCTTCATAACTTCAGACAATAGAGGAAGGTAGTGGAAATATAGAGGCGATTCACAGAAACCAAAGGAGAGCTGAATAGCTGGCATTAGAAAGGGGAATGCAAGGCAAAAAGGGGGCTCCCAGCTCTTTGCATCGGGAGCCAGGAAAGAGCACCTTACCCTGGCACCTGTCTTTTGAGGTGGGCACCTCACCTTTGCTGCCTTTCTGCCTGGATGCTCATTTGTGGAGAGTACGTCTGCTGGGCCAGGTCAGGCACAGCAGCCTCTGGACCAGAGAAAGCAGGCCCATCCAAGACAAGCTGCAGTGTGGGAGTGGGTTGGGCAACTAAATACCATTGGTGACCAATCCAGGGGAAAAGGGGAGGAAGCTGGGAGGCTGGGTGGCCCATGTGGGCTGTCCCCAGTATCTCCTGCCCTGTCTCTGGCCTGTAATGACCAGGATAATTCCAGAATACCCAGGGGCCTAATTCAGTGGTGTGTGGTAGAGGATGTGTAGCAAGTGGATCTCAGCTGCCCTTGTCTGTTTTCTTCCTTTTGAAACTGGTGGGGCAGGTGTGGAGACTCAGTCTAGTTTGGATCATGACCGGCAGCATGGGGGTGGGCAGCCTCAGTCAGGGGGGGGTTGTGTGCTAGGGTGGTTAGGGTCACAACCAAATGGATTTTGAGCCAGACTTCTTTCCCACAGGGCCAGGGTCAGACAGTACCATGCTGGGGAGGAGAGGGGGGGCATGGAATAGAAATGTAGGGTAGAGAGGCTTGGAGCTGCCTCCAGGGGAACAGGATGGACATAGGGCAAAGAGAGTCCCTCATGAACACTGATCCGGCCCCTAAGGGACCTTCAGGAGCCAGGAAAAGCTTATCCCTGTTCCTAAGCCCCAGCCTTAGTGGGGTGGGAGTCATGGCACCAAGGGCCTCAGCTTAGGAGCCTGGCCCCTCCCACCCCCAGATTGGCATCCAGAACTACTCCACAACAAGCAGCTGCCAGGCCCGGGCCAGCCAGGTGCGCAGTGACTACGGGACGCTCTTTGTGGTGCTGGTGGTCATCGGTGCCATCTGCGTGATCATCATCGTGCTGGGCCTGCTCTACAACTGCTGGCAGCGCCGGCTGCCCAAGCTCAAACACGTGGTGAGTGTGGGGGCAGGTGGGGCAGAGGTCGTGGGCTGGGTTAGTGCTGGTGGAGATGGGAGTGTCCCGCAAGCTCTGTCATCTGCAGACTGTCATCTCAGGTGGGCTGGCAGTACTGCAGGTGAGGCCACTTGTCCAGTGCCTGCATCTCTGTGCAGGGCACCCGCTGCACCCGCAGGAGCCCTCCATGGGTGTGAGCTCAGGCCTCCTGGACAGAGGGGCCCTGCAGGCCTGAGCTCTTTAGGATGTCTCACCAGAGAAGCCCTAGGTCAGCAGAGCACAGGAGTCCAGAAAAGACTTCTCACACAGGAGAGGGCAGGGCAAGAGTTCCTTTCCCAGGAGTCCCTTGGAGTCTATAAGAAGGCTGTTGGGAGGGATCAGCTGGTGTTAGTCAAAGGATCAGTAGAATTATTTTAGGAAAGGATTTGGGCTGTGGGAACAGCGCAGAAGAGGGCAGAAGGGAAGTGGCATCTGTGGAAGGTCCCTTGGGTTCCCCGTGTAGGGTTTTACAGACTAGGGAAGGAGCACTGAAGTGACTGGTTCAAGGTCACAGGTCAGGTCAACGGGGCACTTAGTGCAGCTGGGGGGTTGGGCTGGGGCCTGGGCCGAGGCCCCCGCCCAGCATCCTGGTCCCTCCCTGCCCGCAGTCGCACGGCGAGGAGCTGCGCTTCGTAGAGAACGGCTGCCACGACAACCCCACGCTGGACGTGGCCAGCGACAGCCAGTCGGAGATGCAGGAGAAGCAGCCCAGCCTGAACGGCGGCGGGGCCGTCAACGGCCCGGGGGGCTGGAGCGCGCTCATGGGGGGCAAGCGGGACCCCGAGGACTCGGACGTGTTTGAGGAGGACACGCACCTGTGAGGGCGGGCGCAGTGCGGGACCAGCAAGGCGGACCCAGGGCGCACAGCCACGCCCCTTCCTTCCCCGGCCCCGCACCCTCCGCAGCCCGGTTCCCGGTGCCGGCTCCTCCCACTTCCCCACCCGAAACTGTATGGCACAGCCCCACCCCAACCCACGTCCCGAGGGGCGGGTCCCGGGACCCCCATTAAAACTTCCCGGAGCCCATGCCGGGCCCGACACATCGCCTGCCTGGCTTGATTTTTGCCGCGAGGCGGGTTCTGATCGGGCGGGCGAGCCGGAGGGAGGGGCGGGGCGAAAGCAGACGGGGCGGGGCTAGCGGGAGGAGGGGCGGGGCGAGCGTAAGGCAGGGGCGGGGCTAGCGGAAGGAGGGGCGGGCACTGGGGGAGCGGTGAGGGCGGGGCAAGCGGGAGGAGGGGCGGGGCGGGCACTGGGGTATCGGTGGGGGTGGGGCTAGCGGGAGGAGGGGCGGGGCGAGCGCTGGCCGGGAGGGCACTGGGGAAGCGGTAGGGGCGAGGCAAGCGGCCGGGGCGGGGTCGGCGCCTGTTTACTTCCACCTCGGAAGCGGCTGTGCACCGCAGCGGTGGCGGATCCAGGCGATTGTGCCGCGTCTGCGCCATGGACATCAGCGACCTCTTCACCAGCTGCAGGAAGGGAGACGTGGGCCGAGTGCGGTGAGGACTCCGCAGCCCCGGGAGAGTGCGGCGCCCTCAGAGCGCCTCCAGGCCGGGGTGTGCAGGGGAAAGCCGCGGGACAGGCGGGCGCCTTGACCTCCGCACCCGACCCACCCCGGACCCCCGCTCACAGGCCTCGGGGCACCACGGCAGCCTCACCGGCGGGGGTGCGCGGGGGCGGGGGCCGGAGGAGGTGCCGGCGAATTCCGCCACGCAAGGCCGGGAAGGGAAGTGGGCGGAGAGAAAGTTCACTCTGAGTGCCGGGGTCAGACCGGGGCAGGCCTGGGACTCCCGATGGGGCTCCTCTCATGCCTCTGGACCTGGCGTTGGGGACATGTAGAGCCAGAATCGGCCTCTGGTGACCGGGGATTCAGACATTCATAAATGTAGCTAAAGCAAATATGGCGTTGAATTCGCCATCTCAATGGCTCTGGCGAAGGGAGACTGGGCCCTATTGGGGTGGGGAACCTGTCTTCCTTGGCCCTTCCTTCCCCATTACTTATGCCCACAGCTTCCTTTGACCCCTCCCTCCCTGCATCAGTGCCCTCTGGGAGTTAGTTGGTAACTCCCAAAGCTAGATGCTACTTAGCACTCCTGGCAACCTGGATGTCCCCTAGGCTGCCCTGCGCAGTGATGGCTCCATCACCATCCATGATGACCCCCTTACCTAGACATTCCATCAGCTACCTGCCTCCTGACTTCCGCCTTCTAGAATCTGTCTACTTCTTTCCATGCTTCTGTGCCACCAGAATGCCTGCAAGCAGCTTCCTCTTTGGACCCAAGCTGCCAGGGGGGTCTTGGCAGAAGCAGCGCAGGGGTCACCTTTTCACTCCCAAATGCCTGCAGGCTCTTCAGCTCAGGGTCTGCCTTTTGTGTTCCCACCTCTACATCCTGCCTCACTGGCCCTTTTGCTCGGAATGTCTTTCCAGCTCTAGTCTGCCTGTCACCCGCCCTCCCTCACCTGGGGGAGACTTCCTTCAGCCAAAAAGAATGTCTTCCCTCCTTCCCCTTCCACAGGTCTCCTCTCCCAGACTATGAGCCTGTCCTGACCCAGGCTCTGACCTCCCCTTTCCCTGCCCAGGTACCTGCTGGAGCAGCGAGACGTGGATGTGAATGTATGGGACAAGTGGGATAGTACCCCCTTGTGAGTGCCAGGGGATGGGCGATCAGGGTGGATGGGGCAGCCCCTTTAGTCCTGCAGCTGCCTCCCAGTACTCCTTCCTTCTCCCCTCAGGTACTATGCCTGTCTATGTGGGCATGAAGAACTGGTGCTCTACCTTCTGGCCAATGGTGAGGGAAGGGGACAGGAATTCCATCCACCGGTGTGTATGAGTGTGTTGTGTGTGTGCGCACGTGTGCACGCGCGTGTATGTATATGTGTTTTTCAAGGGCTCTAGAGCATGTGTACACATTTGCAAACACCCTAAGTCCTCTCCCTCACCCCTACACCCAGTCAGCAAGTGGCAGCTCTACTTTCAGAAGCATTCTCTGTCCACTTTCCATCTCCACTGCTCCTGCCCAACCCAGCTACAGCATCTCTCCCTGGACCATCTCTCCCTGGATGCAGTGCCAGCCTCACCACCGGTCTTATTGCTGTCCCTTCTGCCCCACCTGCAGTCTGTTTTCTATGTTGTAGCCAAGTGGAGCTCAGCGAATGTGATGGGCTTATTAAACTCCTCTAGCGGCTCCCGCTGCATTGAGCATAGAACTGGAATGCCTTGCGTTGCCTGGGAGCTGCCCCATGGCCTGCTCTTCCTTCTCTGGCCTCTTCGTTGGCTCTCCCACGTGCTCACTCTTCCAGCCACACGGGTCTTCTCCGCGGTGCTCTAGCCCTCCAGGCTTGCTTCTGCCTCAGGGCCTTTACCCCTCTGTTTCTCCTGTTTAGGACGCCCTTTCCCAGCTCTTTGCATGGCCAGCTCTCTCACTTCATTCCGGTCTCTGTGCATTGTCACCGCCACACTGCCCTTCCTCGGCCTCCCTCTCTGGCAGCTGCCATCACTGTCACCCTTCATCTTGCTTCATTTCCTTCAGAGCACCTGATACCGTTTGTTGATCTGTTTCCTGTCCTTCTGCCCCACTGGAGTGTCACTTCAGTGAGGACAGGAACCTGTCCTTTCATGGTAGTGGCCCCCATGCATAAGGCCAGCCTCTGAGCCTACTCTGTTTTGTGTAGCTCGTGGTGTGTGTGAGTGAATGTATGTGAGTGTACAGGACTTTGCCTGTGTGCCTGAGCCTTGGGGTCAGAGTGGGTCCAGGGTCATTTAGGAAGGAGTCTGTAGGACAGTGGTCGGCGAACCACGGCTCGAGAGTCACATGCAGCTCTTTGCCCCCTTGAGCGTGGCTCTTCCACAAAATACCACGTTTTTAGCAAAGGCCAGCTTAGGAGTACCCTAATTAAGTTAGTAGCAATGTACCTGCCTATATAGTTTTAAGTTTAAAAACATTTGGCTCTCAAAAGAAATTTCAATCGTTGCACTGTTGATATTTGGCTCTGTTGACTAATGAGTTTGCCAACCTCTGCTCTAGGCCTGTGGGCTCTACATGTGGGGAGGAGTGGAGGAGGAGGACGGAGATTAGGATTTCCCAGGCCCCTCCCCAGCTGCAGCATGCCACCCCATGGCCTACTAACCGATGAGCTCTGCTGCCCTTAGGAGCCCGCTGTGAGGCCAACACCTTCCATGGTGAACGCTGCTTCTACGGGGCTGCCAGTGACACCATCCGCCGGGCCCTGCTTGATTATAAGCAAGTGACACCCACCTCCAGGAGGCGGGACTACTATGATGAATTCCTGCAGCGGTGAGATGGAGTGTGGGGCATCTCATGGCCTTTGCCCACTGGGTCTGTGATCGGTGTGGCCTGCAAGGGACTGAGAGCCTTCCTACAAGATGATACGAGGGACTGGAGCGGTGAGACGGAGGAGAGGCACTCCCCTGAGACCTCTTCCTCCTGTTCTCTCCTCCCCCGCACCCCTCCTCATCTCTCCAGGCTTCTGGACCAAGGCATCCACAGCGATGTGCTCTTTGTGGTGCACGGGAAGCCCTTCCGGGCCCATCGCTGCATTCTGGGTGCACGCAGCACCTACTTTGCCAACATGCTGGATACCAAGTGGAAGGGCAAGAGCGTCGTGGTCCTCAGACATCCACTGGTGCATCCCTCTCTGGGGCGGGAGAGCAGAGGGACAGCAGGGGGCTTGTGCTGGACCAGGCTTCTGACCTCCCTTCCCGGCTCTCTGCCTGCAGATCAACGCGGTGGCCTTTGGGGCCCTGCTGCAGTACCTGTACACAGGTGACACCCCAGGCCTGGGCCGGGCGGGCAGGGAGGGGGCAGCGTTTCTGTCCAGCAGCAGGTCCAGCTGTAGCCTTGGGCTGACCTTCTGCCACCTGGTGCTTTGTCCCCTGCATTGCAAGGCAGTTCCAGTTGCCTCCTGGGTGGGGTTGGGAGACAGTGAGCTGGGCTGTCTGCTAAGGAAGAGCTTATTTAACCCACAAACGGAGCCCCCTTTTATCTGCTCTGGGGTCTGTAGAACTCAGACATTGGCTCTTGGGAAATTAAGGCAGCATGTAGGCCCAGAAGTCTCAGCAGAGAGACGACCTGTGAAACGATGTGCCTGGGAACTGCGAATGGCCGCTCTCAGGCTCTGAGCCCCCCACGTGCCCCCAGGTGGCCTGGAAGTCGGTGTGGAACACATCATTGACTGTGAGCGCCTGGCCAAGCAGTGCCAGCTCTTGGATCTGCTCAACGACCTGGAGGCCAAGTGCAAGGAAGTGTCTGAGTTTGGTACGTCCAGGCTTTGGGGTTCTGGGCTTTGGGCAGGAACTGGCAGGGCCAACCTGGCTCCCTGAAGCCGCACTGTCTCCGCAGTGGCATCGAAGCCAGGCACTCATGTGAAGGTGCTGAGCATGAGGCCCCCTGCAGAGGACCCCCGGCTGCGGGACGACCTGGCCCTATTGGCTGATTGTGCCCTGCCCCCTGAGCTCCGCGTAAGCACACAGAGGCCTGGGACTGGGCCTGGTGGGCAGGAGACTTACCTGGGGACAGAGCTGTGGTAGGCAAGCCCCACTTTTGGGTTCAGTTCCTTATGTGGCCTTGAGCCATTCACTTCCCTTTCCTGAGCCTCACTGTTCACTTTTGTTGTTGGTCTTGTATTTAAATCTGCAAATGAGGTTGCAGTCCACCCTCCTTCACTCCTCCAGGATCAGCCTAGAGTGGGCTCTTGGCCGAGGCCAGCCACTCTGCCGCCTTCTCTCACCTGCATCAGCTAACGGTGTCTCCTCTCCCGTCCCCCAGGGTGACCTTGGGGAGCTGCCTTTCCCCTTCCCTGATGGCTTCAACAGCTGCCCTGATGTTTGCTTCCGAGTGGAGGGTTGCAGCTTTCTCTGCCACAAGGTGCTGTCCACCCCACAGCTCCCTGAACCCCTGTCTTAAGCCCTAGGCCAGCTTCTGTGGGCACAGCCCAGGCCCTGGCCTTTCCTAAGCCCAGCCTCCCCCAGGCCTTCTTCTGTGGCCGCAGCGACTACTTCCGGGCCCTGCTGGATGACCACTTCCGAGAGAACGAAGGGCCAGAGGCCTCTGGTGGCCTCCCGGCCATCACCCTGCACGGCGTCTCGCCCCACATCTTCACCCACGTGCTCTACTACATATACACCAACCACACCGAGGTACAGACTGGGGTCGGCTGCGTATACTGTGCCAGGGGCAGGGGGTGGGGGACACCACGGTCAGGACAGGTACACAGCCCATGTCCGTGTGGGGCTTCCAGGGTCTGCCCAGGACCTCATTGGCTCCGAGGGACAGGTTTTCCATGAGGCTGCAGAGTGAGTGTGGGGTCCATTTAGATTTTTCTTTCAGGCAGAGGGGTCTTCATTAGATCCATGACAATATTGAATGACAAGACTTAATGTCATCAGCACTGGACACTTGGGGACATAGTGTCAGCCACGTAGGGTCCCCAACTTCTTCAGCCAGAAGACGGTAATCTCTGTCTCTGTGTCTTCACCTGCCCCAAGTCCCCCCCATAACATAGGGTGACATGGGCAGCAACAGAGAGTGCCAAGAGTATCCTCTGCCAGGGTGTTCTCTGCCAGGGTTTGGGTGTGTGTGTGTGTGTGTGTGTGTGTGTGTGTGTGTGTGTGCGCGGGTGTGCATGGAAAGGTTACTGTAATAAAAAATATATATATATATGGTAACTTACAGAAGAGAGAAGTTTCTTCCTTCAGGTGGAGGTGAGCACCCCATGGCGGGCCAGTCCATCTTGGGCTGCAGGCCACATACAGCCCGTTTCGTTAATACATTTTACTGGAACACAACCATCCCCAATCATTTCTCTACTGTCTGGTGGTTTTGCACAATGGCAAAGCCGAGCATTGCAACAGAGACCCTGTGGCACAGTATTTATAATACCACCTAGCCCCTTAGAGAACACTCCTACCTCTTTATTTCATCTCTTCGGTGGTGTAGTTCAGCTCTCTGGCCCCTGCCACCCATGTTCCACCTTGGCCCACCCTGACTCTAGAAAGAGCTTTGCCACCCAGAGGGAAGCTTCTTGATGACTCAGAGCAAGGACTTGGGCTCCAACCCTGGTTCTACTCTGGGTTAGCCTCACCTCTATATCGGAGCTGTGTGATCTTGGGCTAGTTACTCAACTGTTTTGTGCCTCAGTTTCCCCCTCTAGAAAAGGGATACTGATAGTTATTACCTCCTAAGGTCTTGTGCACATGAATGTGTATGTTGCAGGCACAGTGCCTGGCACAAGTAAGCACCATGCACCTGGCCTGTGATGGGCTTAGCAGAGGTCCTGTTTGCTCCATTTCCAGCCTGTTCCCTGTGGCCATCCACCGTCTAGGTGCAGCACACGGTCTCTCCCAGCATGAGTACAGCTATGGCTGTGCCCTAAATTCCATAGCCACTATGATGGGAGGGGCTGGTAAATAGTTACTCCCCTGCCTTTTTAGTAGGGTCCTTGCCTCAGTTTTTATAGAAGCAACTTCTGTCACTTCTGACAGCCGTGTAAAGCACACATGATTGTGTCTGCTGCATCTCACAGAGGATCTGAAGCACAGAGGCGAAGTGATTTGCCCAAGGCCCCACAGCTAGAATTTCCGAGCTCAGGTCTGTGTGATTCAGAGCCGGGCTCCGCCCTGCCTGAGCCATGGGAATCCCAGACTCTTTTTTTTTTTTTTTAAATATATATTTTATTGATTTTTTTTTTTTTTTTTTACAGAGAAGAAGGGAAAGGGAGAGAGCGTTAGAAACATCAATGATAGAGAAACATCGATCAGCTGCCTCCTGCACACCTCCTACTGGGGATGTGCCCGCAGCAAAGGGCATGGTACTTGCCCTTGACTGGAATTGAACCTGGGACCCTTGAGTCCACAGGCTGTTACTCTATCCACTGAGCCACACCATCAGGGCTAACCCCAGACTCTTGTGTCCCTTCTGGTCCCATGGACGCCTGCAGGGGTCTGGGTCAGGTACCTGGCAAGGGGAGGAAGCTCCTGCTCTGCCCGAAGCCTCCACCTTGTGGCCAGCAGGTCTCAGCCTTGCTGCCAGCCCCGGAGAGGCCTTGGCGACCTTAGGGTGCACCCTCCCTCACCCCTGTTTTCTCTGCAGTTGCCCCCGGAGGTGGCCTATGACGTGCTGAGCATGGCCGACATGTACCTGTTGCCAGGCCTGAAACGGCTGTGCGGCCGCAGTCTGGCCCAGCTGCTGGATGAGGACAGCGTGGTGGGCCTTTGGCGCGTGGCCAAGCTGTTCCGCCTGGCACGGCTGGAGGACCAGTGCACCGAGTACATGGCCAAGGTCATCGAGAAGGTGGGCGGTGGGGGCCTCCGTGGGTGGGGGCAGGCCGTGGAGGGTGGCGAGCAGCGGTGTGCCCTGAGCGTGCCTGTCCACAGCTGGTGGAGCAGGAGGACTTTGCGGAGGCCGTGCGGGAGGAGGCGGCGGCCGTGAGGGGCCGGCAGGAGCAGGACTCCATCCCTCTGGTGGATGACATCCGCTTCCACATCACCAGCGTGGTGCAGACCTACAGCAACATCAAGGAGATGGAGCGGCGGCTGCACGCGCTTGAGGACCTGCTGGTGTCCATTGGCCTGGACTGCTGATGACTGACACGGGGCCAGGGGCTCCCCGTGGACTGCGCACGTGGTTTGGGCGGCCGTGTGCTCCGTGTGCTCCTCGCACCCTCCAGGGCGCTGTGGTGTGTGGAAGAGACTCAATGGCTCCCTGCCCTGGTGTGCTTGGAGGCCCCCGGGCGGATCCCCTGGGGACGAGCTTCCTCCCGGGGGGCGCACACGCCAGCCCCCTCCGCCCTGGGGCTGGGCGCCACTCAGGGAAACCGGGGTGGGACCTCTCAGCCTCCTTCCCCAGGTCCCCCTCTCCTCCACTCCGGCTCTCCCTGGCTGCTTGCTTCCTCAAACCAAGCCACCTTCTCACAGGCACAGAGATGGCCAGGAGGGAGCAGCAGAGTCTGTGTGGCAATAAAGCTTGAATTCACTGGGAACCTGAGCCCTGGGAAGATGGTGCGATGGGGTGTAGGGCAGTTTCCAGAGTTGGGAACCCTCATGGGGAGGTTGAGGTGCCCAGCAGGGGCTACTTGGGGATTAGGGGTTGCCTTGGGTCTATGGGTCTTCAGGAGGCAGTCCCTGTTTGTGGGGGCCCTGAAATCGCGCAGCTGAGCTCCTTATCACACCCCTGCCCCAGGGCAGAATTCCCCTCAGGACACAGCTCCCCTCCTCCCCCCACCTCTTGGTGAGGTCACACTGACCCACTGCCTGGCCTGGGGGCCCTGGAGAACGTTGAGTGGGTCGGGCTGACTGTGGACACAGGCTGCTTCCCCCGCAGGCCAAGTAAGGACTGCCTTCTCGTTTACTGAGCACTTACTATATATGGAAGGCTGTTCACACAGCTGAAGTGTCTGATCATCGCTGCCTAAGGCACAGGGACTGTGGCTGGGCCACAGACAGGATAGGGAGGGGGGGGGGGAGCGACTGGGGAGCCCTAGCCAGCCTGGGAGCAGCTTGCTCTGCAATCCCAGGATGAAGGGCAGGGAGAGGTGGGTGCAGAGAAGTGAAGGGGGAGGAAGCCCTCTGACTCCCCACTCTCCACCCCACTAGCCACTGGCTGCGCTGGGCCTCATTTGCAAAGGGGGACTGTACCTCACTTTCCCTGCGCCCCAGGCCAGTCTCCTCCTGCCCCTCCTACAGGGCTATGGCATTACTAGCGAGGTCAGAGGTGGCTTTCTCAGGATGCCCTTCCGGCTTTCAGCCCCCCATTGCCCTACCTGGTCCCCGAGGCCCAGGTGTTGTGTAGGTAGCTAGATATTAAAGGAAGAAAGCAAAGGGAATCCGACGTCGTCTCACCAGGAAGTTACAACTTCTCACACTCCTGGGAACCAATGGTCCCTTCCTGCCAATCTCTGGGGCAAGGGACAGAACAATGAAACTGGAGCTACACAGTGCACAGTAGGAGTAAATTGGCTCAGGGGGAGGTGCTTCTATGAGGCCAAATGACCACAGAGGACTGTCAGTCAAGCCTGGGGGGGAGAATGGATTGGTCAGGGTGGTCCTATCAAAAGCCAGAAGCTTGGAAGTTGATTGGCTATTTTGAATACACTAGTCCTTCCCAAACCCAGGACACAAAGCCAGTCCCTCTCTCCCTCCCTCAACAGCTCACACTCTCCCTTTCCTTCCCTTGTTCTCACTCCATAGCCAGGTGGCCTTAGCATCCCCATGGCCATTCTTTAAACACAGGCTCCAGGCTGGAGCCTGGATAAAGCAGCACAGCTATGGATTGGAGCCAGGAACCCAAACTATGCTAGCCGGATGGTGAGAAACTCCGGACTGGACTGTTTTAATGTGGATACTGGTTCTATTTCTGATCCCGATTTCCTGTGGCAGGAGGGACAGCGATGGGACATTGGGAACTGCCTTCTATTTCCACCCAAATAAATCTTACCACCTGACCTCATCCTCCCTGTGGGTCCCCCAAAACGCTTTTTCTCCTGACACCACAAGGACCCACTTCCAGTGCAGCCCAGAGCTGCACCCCAAGGCCTCTCGCTCCAGTCTGCCTTGGGAACAGCAGGCTGAAACCCGAGTGGTGCCCAGAGCCCTGAGAGGACCGGAAGCCCACTGTTCCCCACAGGCTGGATGCTGGTTACGTTGGCCCCTGCAGTTTGTTCCATGTCACTTCACACCTTGTCACACCTGTTATTTGCCAGAACTTCGGGGACTCTCTTCCGTTGCCTGTCCAGTGCATTTCATTTGTGTTGGTTCGGTAGGGGAAGCTCTAAGGTCTGAAGGACAGGAGGAGTGATTATTGAACAAGTTGGCAGGTAGGCTGGGAGGAGGGGGAACTCGCCAAGCTGACGGACGGGGTGGTCCTGCTGGTGGAGGGCAGGGTTTATGCAAGGTCCTGGAAGCCTGACGGGAGACTGGGGGACCAGCATGGCCAGAGGGCAGGAGCTCCCACCCCGGCTCTCTTACTGCCTGGTGGTGTGCTGTGCCTGTTTGCCTCTATAAATGGGAAGTCATTTTTTATAGTCATTCCTCGCTTGGGGTGTTGAGTTACTACTTGTGAAGGCCTCAGTGCAGCACTGGTTGTAAATGCTGAGCCTAGAGAGAAGGTGAGAGTAGGAAGTGATGGGGGTGGGGAGAGGGGGGGAGGGCGGGGGCACCTGACTTGCATCTTTAAAAGTTCACTTGGGTGTTTAGGTGTGCCCTACAACCCCAGCTAGTAAACACAGGGCATTATGTCCCAAGAAGGAATGGAGGAGGAGTGCTGAGTGGGAATTGAGGGTTCATCTGACTTGTGTGCAGTTTTTTTTGTTTTTGTTTTTTGTTTTTAATATTTTTATTGACATTTAGAGAAAGAAGGAGGGAGAGGGAGAGAGGAACATCCATCGGCTGCCTCTTGCACACCCCCCATCAGGGATTGAGCCCAAATCTAGGCATGTGCTCTGATGGGGAATCAATCAAATCAGCAACCTTTCCGTGCACAAATTACACCCAGCCAACTGAGCCACACTACCGGGGCAATTGTATGTAGTTTCCAATGCTTTCAGAATGTGTAGTGTGTAGCTGTACTACTTTTAGAATGGAAAAGCACATCTATCCCTGATTTCATTTTAATTCACTCCTGGTAAGTGCAAAACTGCTCAATGAGAAAATATAAATTTTCATAAATTTTATTGGGTAATATATGCATTCTATCCAAATTCAAGGTACCTACATATTTTTCACTGCAGGAAAAATAGTTCAGCCAAACACTGACAAAATAAGCAACAATGGAAAAGAAAGAGACAATGCTTATACACATAATGTAAAGTAGGGGATGGCTTGTTTATACCCTTGAGAAGAGAGAAGGCGTGATGGTGGGGCAGGGCAGAGACCAGATCAGGAGCAGTGCTGTGCTGAGTCATAAAAAGTTTGGAAGCAAAAAGAAAAGCCAGACCCTAACTTTATTTAAAATATGATTCAGTTTATCATTTTTGGGGCATTAATTTTGATTTTAAAAATTACAGTATTATCTTGATTACTAAGACTTTGGTGCCCCATTGCATTTTGTGTCTAGGTGAGTGCAAAGGTGCCCATTATGGTATCTATAATAATAAAAGTGTAATATGCTAATTAGACCTGACATCCTTATGGACGTCCTTCTAGATGGAGCCTGGGCTGCAAGATAAGCCCGGGTCCCGGGTGCCAGAGGGAAGCTGGTGCCTGCAGCCGGGGGAAGGAAGGCCTACTCTTGCATGATTTTGTGCATCGGGGCTCTAGTTACAAATAAACAGGAAACAACCAAAAAGCCTGAGTTGTAATCACGGAAGGAAATTATGGAATAGATGTGGCTGTAAAGGTGTCAGTGCAGCTTCTGTTTCCCCAAGGGAAACATGAGCTCATTCAGTCCACCTCGGGTGTGCCCCACAACCCCTTTGGCCTTGGCCCAAATAACTGTTACCAGGAGGTCAGTCTATAGTGAAAAAATAAAGTATTTTTTTCACCCATTCTCTAAAATCCTCTCCACCTGAAGAAAAAAATAAAGAATGAAAATTTTGCATCCTATGTTCTCTCCTCTACCTGGAAAACTCCTACATAGCCTTCAGTGCCCCCTCTCACAGCTGCAGACTGAGAAATCCAAGGCAGGGTGAGGTTGCCCCCTGGCCACTGGCATGGCAAAGTCAGGACTGCTCTTGCCAGGACTCAGGGCAGCCTTAGTCCCTGGAGCAGACATTTGAAGATAGAACATTTTTTCACTTTGGAGAAAGTCTACCAGAGAACTCGGAGTCGGGGACTTCTGAAGGTGACCTTTACCTGGCCTATTGTCCTTGTTCTGTGCGCATCTACCTGCCTACCATGACCTTACAGAGTGACCTGGTCATAATTTCCTAACGGGGCTGCTGAGGTGGGTAGTCACTCCCCAGGCATACAACTTTAACAAAAGATTTTAAGTCCATTGTTCTTGTGTATCTAGGCTAATTCACCTCGGAGACCCCTGGAAGGCATAACCAGCCTTAGGAAAGCACATGCTCTTGTTACCTATCCTGTTATTCACTCCCCATCTTGCTGTCTCCCACCTCCATGTAATCTTTACTTTCTCTCCTTAATTTCAAATACGTATAGGAAGCTGCAAAACCTGTCCTGCAGAGCACCTGAGAGCTTGTTCCCTGGCGTATTTCTCCAGTTTACTCAAATAAGCTCATAAAAAGTCTCTACAGGTTTGGCTTTTTTCCCCATTGACATTTATCTGTAGAGCTTTTTGAAGATAGATACATGTTCTTTACATTCTCTCCCGATTCCTTGACCCTCAAACTTAGTTGGTCACCAAACCTTGTTGATTTTGCCTCTTTAAGAGCTGCTTCCTCAGTATCCCCTTTTCTGTCCCCACTGCCACAGGCCCCTGCCTCACCAGCAGCCCGTTCTCCCTGCCCTGCTGGCATCTCCCGGGCAGATACTGAGCCCGGGTCCCCTCCGTGAAAGCCCAGGTGTGCACTCTTCGTTCCTGGGCACAGCCTGCTGTCTCTCCCTGATGTCTGGGCACTTGGCTCATTTCCCAGCCTGCCTTGCCCCAGTTCTAGATGGGAACGGAAGTATTATACTAGGTGGGATCTCTGCTTTGTTCCTTGGAAGGCACAGGCCTGCCCCTTGCCTTTCTTCGCCTCTGGTTGGCTGGAGCAAGGACGTGGTGGCAGCAGCTGGAGCAGCCATTCTGGACTACGGGCTGGAAGCTGCCTGCTCCGGACTGCAGGCTCAGGAGAGTGAAAGGGGGAGCATCCATCCTGGCCTGGTTGTGTCTTCTACCTGAAGCCGCAGGCTGAGCAGTCTCCCTGTGCTCCAGTGACACCCCCTCCAGCCACAGCTGTCGGCCTCCCCGTGGCCTGCTCAGCGATGCACCTACCCCATGGGTTCCCTTCACCACACAGTCCTTGTTTGGGTGCTGGGGAGGGTGCCCTAGGTTTCCCCCAGCCATCCTGAAAGTCCCAGTTCTGGGACCAACCTCCTCCCTCAAGAGCTCCCCACACCCACTTATCTCCCTGCCCCCACCCCCAGAGCCTCCCCTGGAGAGAACCCTGGCCTGCTGGGCAGGGCCCACTATGTGCCCTGTCTCATTTCTTGACCCTCTGCTGTTAAGTGCTGGAGTGGCAGGATGTGTCACCCTGTCTTCATTCTGTGGGGCGGCCCCAGGGCCGGGCACGGTGTCTGGCAGGCACATCACGAGTGCTCCGTGGGGAGCTCCCAACAGCCCCGAATGCTCACAGAGGCAGGAAAGGCCAGGTGTGACTTCGGCTCAGGGCAGACTTCGGTTAGGGAGAATAGAAAGAGGGCGTCTTGGGGGAGGGGCCTCTGTCCTTCAGGTTTGCCTGGTGGAGGGACCTCTCCAATGAGCCCAGCTCCAGCCACGCCCACAGGACCCACTTCATTTGTGTGGAGCTCAGTAGAGAAAAAATTTGTGGGGCCCTTGTCCAGAAATGGGTCTGCCATGTAATGGAACACATGCTCACTCTGCTTCAGGGCGAACGTGTCCACTTGTGGAAGACAGAGAAGCAGGCCCACACCCGGGGCTGGCACCAGGTGACGGCTCAGCCAGGCGCTCAGCGCTGCGCTCTCTGCAGGGACGGTTGCAGTCTTGGGTCGGGCAGACAGACAGAACACACCATTCAGAAAACATCCGGTTTATTAGGATTAGCTGTGGCATATTGGTTCCTTTAATAGTTTTAAACTGATACAGGTGTCCCCACTAACAGCATATATGTAGGGGGTGCGGAGCTGCAGTGACAATAGCAAACAGGTGAATCGCATAGAAAATCATTGTGATCCTAATGGGTTTCTCTTAGCCATGGCGTGAGGAAGAAAAGGTAGCTCAGAGCCTTGCTACAGGGCAGAGCAGAGCAGAGCCAGGTGGGTGTCCAGAGCACCCTTTGTGCTCTTGCTGTGAGCCCCATTCTCCCCCCTCCCTCCCGCCCCGAAGCTGAGAGGGAAGCTAGGGTTGTCAGTGGGTAGAAGCGAGGCTGCCCATCCACACCCCCACCATCCCTGCAGAGGAATGGGGCCCTTTGGGGCTGGGAGCCCCACTGGCTGCAAGTGACCTTTTTGCCTAGAAATATTTCTGGGCCTGGAACCTGTTTCTGGATGGGCCAGCAGGACCTCTGGGTTACAGGGCGAGGTGCTGTGTCCACATCGAGGCCAGACTGTGTGTGAGACCTAGCTTCCCTCCCAATCCCAGCTCCTCGCGCATGGCCATGGCGGGACTCGGAGGCTCCAGGTGTCAGCACGAAGCTGTCAACACTGAGAATGAACTCAACTGGAGACCCGCCTGGAGCACTTCAGAGGATGCTCCCCCCACAGCGGGTGTCGCTCACGCAGCAGGTGGGCCTGGCATGGTGCCACCTTGCCTCCTAGAATTGGAGTCAGTCCCAGTTCAAATAATTTCTCTTTTAATATAGGTGATCCTTTCGCCAGGTATGTAAATGCGATTGAATTTGTCTCTGTAAAAGCTCTCATATAAATAAATCCGTGCATCCGAAAGACTCCTGGTCGAACCATGCGCCTGATATTTAATTTGGGAGATGGCATTGCAGTCACCCGGTTTCAGGAGAGGTGGGGCAGGGGGTCGGGGGTGGGATGTAGGGGGACTTCTGTGACCTGAGCTGTCACAGCTCTGGTGAGAATTCCAGGTCTGGGCTCAGGGGGGTCTTGTGCGTTTGGTAGTTTGCAATGTAGTGTCTGCTTTTCCTTAGCCGAGGAGCACAAACACACACACAGGCCCAACTCCACGGGCACCGACCTTCTCTCTCAGTGCATTTCTTACATTTTCCCCCTCAAAGGGAACCCAGATAAAGATGAAGGAGCAAGAGAAGCCACTCTCTGCGGGGCCCTGGGCTCTGCCCCCAGGGGGGTGGCTGTCTGGGCGCTTCACCTCTCCCGAGGGGCAGTGGCAGGAGAACACAAACCTGGGCCCGAGCAAGCAAGCATGACCGGGCTGCCCACCGAAGGGGACCAATTCTAGCCTCGCCGTGGTGTGGGCAGGTCCCTGGAGGGCGGGCAGAGGGGCTCCCCTCTGGAGGTCTAAAGAAAACCCTAGAATAGGGTGTGGGCGAGGGGCAGTTCTGCTGCTGGAGGAAGAGGGTGGGAGACCCAACTCCCAGAGTCAGAGGCCCTGGCAGGGAATCGGCGCCTCTTCTGTAGCCTAGGGCTCCTGCCTGCACCTTCCACAGGTTCAACTCCTAGCAACTGCCCTCCGGCGCCCCGGCCCCCACAGTCATAGTCACACTAACGGAGCCTCGTGAGGTCCCAGCCAGGCCGCCGGGAGTGACGGCATTCCTGCAGTGGGCAGTGATCCCCTTTATTGCTGGCACTACGTGAGGGCTGCGGGCGGGGGTTGGCACCTGAGAGAGGATGGTCAGGCGCGGGCCTCGGCTGGGAAAGGTCGGCCCTGTCAGCCAGCCTTGCCTGCTCACCACCCGCCCACCTGGCTGCAGAGCCACCGAGCTGGGACTCCCTTCTCCTGCCACCAGAGGTAGCTGTGCTGCCAGCACTGAGCTCCTGGGGCTGCTGTGAGCCCAAACAGTGGGGGCCAAGGACAGACCTGCCGCTGCCACTGCTAAGGCTGGCGCTCGGGGCCTGCCTCCGGGGCTGTGCCTGGATGCCTTTGGCGCAGGGTCCCCAGGCTACCTTGTCCCACTCCTGTGCAGCGGCATGAGCCCCCTGGGTCCCACCACCCCTCTACCACATTGTCTCTGCTTTAGAATATACTTTCCTCTTCAATACAATCGTCTCTCGGTATCAAGTACAAGTCATGGAAGGCAAGGCAGCCCCTGAACACCGGCTCTCGGCGGGCAGTCTCGGGCTCCCTGACGGGAAGGGAGGGGAGTAGGGCCTCCAGCCATGTTTCATGGCACCCTCATGCCCAGATCCTGCTGACCAGGAGCTGACAGGGGTCATGGGGGGCAACGCATTCCGAGGAAGTAGGAGGCATTTTCTGGGCCTCAGGAGGCACGTGAGTCTGCCTGGGAAGCTGAGGCCGACCACCATGGCCAGAGAGAGGCCAGCCTGAGGCTGTGGGGAGGGGCGTGGGGGGTGGCCGGACAGCGAGCAGGAGAGGGACTCCTCCAATTATTGCAGTCAGGTGTCCCAGAACACCAGGCATTCCTGGGAACCCTGCGGGAACTAGGACGGGCAGGGCAGAGGCTGTGCTGGGTTTTAAGGATATTCCAGCACATTCCACCTCTGGAAAACTGCCTGCGACCCTTCTCTGTTTTTGCATAAGGTGTGTCTACCCCTTCAGGTAGACCCAGAGACAGAACAACCTAATGTATGACAAGAGTGCCTTTTTTTTTTTTTCTTTAGTGAATTAGGCTAGGGATTCCTCCAATTCGTAATTTTTTTAAGTCACATCTGAGAGGTCAGCTTCCGCCCTTCCTCTGCCCGCTTCCCCAGCTGAGGGCCCGGGGCCTGGCCGTGCGCTCAGGGTGGGGACCCTGTTCTCGCCGCCGCCGCTGTCCTTTGAGAGACCCACATGTTTATTTCGTGGAAGACGGAGTTGGTTACTTCGGGAAGCTCTTTGTGGAGAACGTGGTAGGCACCTTCGTAAATCTGCAATTAGGAGAGACAGGAGGTCAGGGCTAAGGAAGCTCCAGGTGCAGGGAGGGAGGCCACAGGTGGCAGCCAGAGTCCCCCAGACACTCCCCGGGCCCCCAGGACTCCATCCTTATGGTGCCAGTGCCTTCTGATCAGATGATGATGTAAGTAAATTAAAATGTGCCAACATGATCTAGCACTTCCTTCCTGAAGTCAACGCACACCTTTCCTTTATTCCGCTTCTCTCTCCAGCTGTGCTCTGGTCTGTGCCTCTACCTCAAACCCTGATTTCCACTCCTTGTCTTCACTTGTCTTCCGCCTGGACCTCAGCTGGTCCCAGCCTACGTTCACTCCCACCAGCCCACAGCGACTGTAATTGGCATGGGCTACAATGACGGTTAGCTGTTGTACCCAGGGAACACTTCCTCTCATATTGTCTTCTTCGCATCATTCGGAAGCTGCTAACCTTCTAAAAATACTTTCCTCTTATAGTTTCTTTTAATTCTTTCCCCAAATTTCCAACAGCCTCTTCAACAGGCATCACAAAATGGAATTCCTGTATCACCCATCTCAGGATAGGGGTCACAGTCTTCTCACTGGTGCAGGCCCAAGCTCAGGATCCATCCTTAGTCATGTGATCACTACAGTCACTCTCTCCAGGGCCTGCCAGGCTGTCCCCTGCCTTTGCTACCACCGCCTCAGGCCAAGCTCATCCTCTTGGCCTGGGTGACACCACCATCTTCCCACCCAGTGCCCTTTCCTCCATTCTTACCTCCACAGGGCAGCTGAGGGATGTTTTGAGAACCATAGCAAAAGCCTGTTTCTGTCCAGCTCAGAACATGCTGTTGGCTTCTTCATCGCACTAAGAGTTGGGACCTCTGCTCTGCTGCCAGGACCCCCTCACCCAGCTCGGCACACTCCACCATACTAGTCTCCTGGGTGCTTGCACACACCAGTACTTTGCAATTTAGGTCTTTGCAGTTGTCCCTCCTGGTTCTGGAATGTTCTCCCACTGCTCCTAGGCCTGGCTGCCCATCTACGTGTCTTACCTCTTCTCTAGTTCCTCTGTCCCACTCTCTGCTTGATTTCCTTCAGGACCCTGACCCTCTTCCTCACTGGCATCCTCTCTGGTTGGTTGTTTGCTGCTTATCCACCAGGACAGACTGTGTGAGAGGGTTGGGACTTTGCCTGTCTTGTTCTTTGGGCCTGGCACAAAGTCAATGCCGACTGAACACTTGGGTTCAAGAAGAAACGAATGAATGGGGAAATACACAAATGAGCACGCTACATGGCCTCCCTTTGTGGGGCCACCACGGTTCCACTCGGGCAAAGGGCGTGACCTGTGAGGCGCCATCACCCAATTGCAAAGTGGCCATGGCCTTTCATGTTCTCCAGCATCCTAAGAGCCAGTTTTCCTTTTTCTCCTGCTTCCTGTTCACCCACGAGTCTACATCTGACAGCTGGTGTGGGCCAGGGTCTGCAATGCATAATGGTGCGAGGAAGGCACTTGACAGTTTGCAAAGCCCTGAGAGTCTGTCAGTGCCGTATGGAATGGAGAGGGTCAGTGGGAGTGAGTTCGAATTCCGACCCTGTCGCTTAGTAAGGGTGGGATCTGTAGTGAGGTAGTTGCCCGTTCTCTTTATAACTTAGCAGGAAATGGTCCTGGACTCGGCTTCCATGTGCCTACTGCACAGGATGAGGTGGCATAGTTTGAGGCCACATATCCATCACCAGTATACTGGGGCTGTGGTCAACGGTCACTTGACAGGTACACAGTAGGTGCTTCTCCTCTTCCCCACCCCTGCAACTGGGCTCTTCCCAGTTCACTTAGTCGAACAAAACAGAAATGTCTGGACTCTCCAAACATTTTCCATCTCTACAGGCCCTCCACGTTAGTCCACTGTGGCCTGTGTGTCTGACAGGCCATTTGGCTAAGCCACAGGTCCCATCCCCTCTTACATATGCCCTTGCAGACCAGACCCTGCCATGCCCACTGCACTGGTACCCCAGAGCCCTGGCAGTGGTGGCTGGTCCCCAGCTGCTGCAGAAAACCAACCTGCAGAGAGGCCGGGCAGCCACACGCCTTTGGCCTTGGGACACGGAAAAGCGGGAGATAGGCTCTTGGAGACATTTCTCTGCCCAGTGCCCAGAGCGGGGTTTTTCCTTGACCCAGATGTCTTCTGAGTATTCTCCCATGACTGGCTAATGGCTTGTGTTCTTGCTTAGAATGAACAGCCATCTTGTATTTCTGGTATGTATTTTCCATTGAGGCCAGGCTGGTCGCATCCCAAGATGACCTCCCCCCTGGAGGTAGCCATGGGGTTCTGGGCAGATGTGCCCAAAGGGACACCACCTTCCCACTTTGGGGAAGCGAGGGGGTCACATGCTCACCTTGAGCGTCTTGTCCTGGCTCTTGGCAGACTCCATGAGCAAGTAGGCCCCTTTGCTGTCGCACAGGCGGTCAGCAGAGCCCTGGAGCAGCAGGAAGGGCAAGGTCAGCCTGGGGAAGGCCCGCTCCACCCTGGAGACAGCGTTGAGCAGCTGCGTGCAGAAGCTCACTTTCATCCCCGCCCGGCAGATGAGGGGGTCCGTGTTATAAAGGTCGACCTGCAGATAAGAAAAGAGAGAGGTTTCTATCTTTAGCTCAGCGGTCAGAGACCTCGCTATCATCTGTTAGATCTTCCTTCTGCTTTGGCCTGAAGAGCTGATTCCATCAGTCAGCTCGGTCTGGGGCGCAGGCACCTGGCCAGCCCTTCCATGACCCAGACCTGCACTGTCCTGATGCCTCTCTTCACAGGCTTTGTTCTATGCACCCCACATTCATACATGTGCCTCCACATGGCTTCAAGTGTTAAGGCATATATTTTTACATGGGCAACATTGTATTGGTTACAGATTTTGCTCGGAAACAGCTCTAAAGGTATTCTGGTGTTAGTCGTGTGGATTTTGCTTTCTCTAAGCCCATCTTCCCTTACTTAGTGTCCACCCGGTAGAAGTGGGTGAGGGCACACACAACACGCAGGGGCAATGGGGGCCCTGGCAGAAGGCGTGGGGCTGGTCTGAGGAGCCCCGGAGGCACTCTGGCAGGGCACCACCCCATGGGCTTCTGGAGGAACGAATTCCAGGGCAGGTCTGGGCTGTGGGGGGCTCTAGCCTCCATGTCCTCTGGGCTGCAGAAGGCTGCCTGCCACCCAGACAGGGATGCCTACTGCCTCTCTAGGGGGCATGCCCAGAGGCTGGGTCCTCCCTCCTCAATCATCAGATTTCCCAGGGCCTAACTCTAACTCTGCCCTTGCTTGTGGTTCAGAATCTGACCTAGTCTTTCAGGAGGCTACCCTGACACCCTATCCTTGTTTTCCCTGGCTTCACGGCCACCTGCCTTTAAGGGAACAGTGAGTTGTCTGCTCACTGTGGCCCCAGGTGGGGCATTACCCCCACAAAATCTGGGTGAGAAGTCTCTAGAAGTCTCTCAGGCCTTATGGGTAGTTGTGAGACCAAAACATTCCCTATCTCATTTCCCTCATCCTTGCCAGTAGGTTCTTGGCTGGTTGGAGACATGCTACATGGTATGGGTATGGGTAAGGGAGCAGAGGGGCCGTGGAAGGAAATGTGCCTCCAGCTGCCCTTTGAGCTGCCAGAGTGCCCACTGTGTTCCAATCTGATCTGCAAATGCAGGGCTACACCTCTCTTCTGTTCCCAGCCCTGCAGGCCTCAGCTGGCATTCAGGTCCATGCCGAGGCGGGAGAGGCTATTCTGGGCCATCCCTGCCATCCCTGATTCATCCCGTGCTGGGGACAGAGCAGGCAAAGCAGACCTTTGTGGAGAGCCACATGAGACAGATTAGCACTTCCTGCAGCAGAGCTGGCGTGAATCCTGCAGGGCTAAGGCCATTAGTTTGGGGACTGAGAGGAGAAGAGACTGGCAGGGGCAGTGCGTGGCCATAGCAGTTGCTGGTCCAGGGTCTGCAAGGAGCCCTGTTTGGAAGGAGAGCCCTGGGCTGGCAGTCTGTCAAGAACTGAGGCTATCAACGAGAGCAATGGCAACTGCAGCACTTCTGTACCCAGCACAGTGTCAGGGCAGTATGTGCAAGACCTCATTTAGTGAAAAATAATAACATCTAACACTTCACTTCTGAGCTCTTCCTTTCCATGTGCCTGCACTACATGTTTAACCCGATTAACCTTAACTCTGTCTGAAGAATGGCTCTCATTATCCTTATTTGGGGAGGAGGAACCTGCCTATTATCCATTACTCAGTTCCTGTTCTCCCCTATAGAACCCCGAAGGTTTCCTTTGGAATACAAGGAAGGACCCAGAATAAAGACTACATTTCCCAGCGCTCTTTGCAGTTAGGTCTAGTCATGTGACCCATTCTGGCCAATGGAAAGTGAGAAGTATGCGGTGTGATCCTCCTGTCAAGGCTTGTGCTATTTACTCTTCCCACTTACCAGAGTAAGGAGGAGCTGGGGCCCCAGGGAGGAGAGCCACACCCCAGAAACACAAAGCAACAAGATGCACTGGAGCACATGGGCTGGTGACACTGAGAAGTGAATAAGCCTCTCTCCTTTTTAACCCCCCATTGTTGTGGTCTGGGTCTCCGCTGGCGGGCGGCCCTGCTCAGAGCATTCCATTCCAAGTCGCTGGGCCCTGGTGGCAGGGGCTGTGTCCTTAGGAGCGCAGAGGGCCAGAGCCCGCTAGACCACCACCTTCCTGAAACGGCCTGCCCCCTTGCTCTGTTGTTCCAGGACATCCTGGCCACATGAGGCCCCTTGGGGAGTCTGTTCTCGGGTCTAATTGCTCTGACGGCCCAACTGGCTTCCTGCTCTTGGCTTCATTTTCCATGTCTTGGTCACGTAACCCTGTTTACACAATGGCTGTGTATGGGCCGGGGGAAGGCACTGCCAGATGTGTGGGAGAAAGGGCAGGCCCTTGGTGGGAGCCATAGCCGGGGCAGAGGGCAAGAGGGACAGAGGGAAAGAGGAGTTTGGAGCAAAAAGGAGGGCCAAACTTCATGGGGAAACTGAGGCTCAGAGGGCCCAAACCCTCCCCTCAAGTAACCATTCTGGCCCAGGCACGGTGGCCTTTGTTTTATTTATTTTTATTTTAAATATATTTTTATTGATTTCAGAGAGGAAGGAAGAGGGAGAGATAGAAACATCAATGATGAGAGAGAATCACTAATTGGCTGCTTCCTACACACCCTCTACTGGGGATTGAGCAATCTGGGCACATTTGACGCTCAACCACTGACCATGCCACCGGGCCAGCCTTTGGGTGTGTGGTGGTTTTTTGTTTTTTTGTTTGTTTGTTTGTTTTAAGAGCATTTTATCTAAAGTCACCTGAAGTCCTACTTGTAAGGTGAGAACATGTCCTGTCACCCCTAGGAGAGAGGTGGATAAGACTATTTCTCCTAGACCAGACCCAACCCAGAGCACTGGTCAACAGAAGCAGCACATTCAAAGCCAAAGGTGAAAAAGTCAGTCTCCAAAGATGACTTCTTATAGGATTCCATCTCTATGACAGTCTTCAAATGACAAAATTGAGAAATGTAGAGTAGAAATGTGGTTGCCAGGGGTTGGATAGGGGAAGTGGGTGTGGCTACATCAGGGTACCATGCGGGATCTTTGTGGTTATAGGATGCTCTGTGGTCTGATGTGCTAATGTCAACTTCCTGGTAGTGATGTTGTCTTACAGTCTTGTAAGATGTCAGCATCGAAGAGAACTGGGTAAGGGTCCATGGGATTCCTCTCCATTATTTCCCACAACTACATGTGAATCACTATTATGTCAAAACAAAAAGTTTAATTTAAAAAAACATATAACAAAGACCCAGTCTTTGGCACTATCTCTTGCACCCCTTCTCCCCATTTTTTTTAATCATAATTTTTTTTTTTATGCCAGCTGAGAACATGTCTACTGGGAACATGTCAGCTGGAGGCTCTGGGTCCAGGTCCAAGTGAGCACATCTTTGTTTCAGATGATTGACCTTTGGGGGTGCTGCCACTGGCTGAGACTTGAAGTCTTTTTTTCTTGGGGGGCGTGTCAACTAACAGTACAAGAGACCTGAGGAGTGAGGAGCACCCAGCCCTGCTAGTTCCCAGCCGTGATCTGGCAAAGCTCTTCTTTCCTAGGCTGTTTGCCGAATAGTGAAATAGGGGTGATGATGGAAATGCCTCAGAGGACTCCAGGGAGACTCAGTGTGCTGATGCAGACACATGCCAAGCCCAGGGCCTGGCCCCAGAACGGGGCTAGTGATGTGTGGGGTGCCTCTGGCTCAGACCCTGGGAACAAGGAAAGGAAGGTCTCTCTGCCTCAGAGACCTGGAGCCACATAGCCTTAGGTGAAGTCTTACTCCTTCCAGGTCTTCGCTTTCCCGCTGAGGGAACCTCGAAGGTTCCTCTTGGGATTCCAGTGTCACAGGTTGTGAGTGTTTTCCTGGCCTCCTTCACATACGTTAGCAATCCCCAGGGCCTTTCACTGTTTTCTGCGGCTCTGAGAGCTCTCAACAAGGTTGAACTTGCCAGCCAGGAACGTGCCAACTGGGGCTGCTGACTTTTGAACACCGTCTCTCTGTGGGGAAGAGAATTTGCCCTAAAGCACAGTATATATAGCTACAATCTACAGTTGGGAGTTGTCTTCAAGTGAGTTGAGCAACATCCAGGCACCACCCCTACAGCCAAATCCCTTGACCTATTTTTAAAAAATCTGTTCCGTGGTGGAATACAAAATTACATTTTTAATTAAAATGGTATTTAAAATAACGAACACACTTAGCCCTTAATTATGTACCAGGTGCTGTGCTGAGCATTTTACTGGTGCTCGCTCGTTGACTCTTCACAGGAAACCAGTGTAGGGACTATTGCTATTTTCACCATCTCATATGCGAGAGGAGAGGCTTGATGACCCACTCAAGATTACACAGCAAATAAGGGGCAGAGCCAGGATGAGAGCCTAGGCAGTTGGGCTTCACCATCGTCATCAGAGCCACTCACCACGCTATGCCACCTATCTAGAGAAGAGAAAGTGAAGGTGAGTCCCATGGACTCGCAGGTCAGCCAGCAGCCATGGAGGTGGCATTCCTCAGAAAAGAAAGCAGTGGGCCCCTGGTGAGAACCATAAATATCTAGGACTGACGGTGAAATGACTCGGTGGGTACCACGGTGCCCTACTAGGCACAGACAGGCATGCACCCTCCTCACATGACACTGTTTACCACTTCACAGAGAAATATAGCCCATTGGGTCTGATCTCCTACAGTTTCCCTTCAGGGACCTACGTGTGTCTACAACTGGGTTTTTCTGACTTTCCTTCCCTCTAACACCCTCCCTTTTCTTTTTTCTTTTCTTTTCTTTCTTTTTTTAAAAAAATATATATATTTTATTGATTTTACACAGAGAGGAATTGAGAGGAACAGAGAGTTAGAAACGCCGATGAGAGAGAAACACCGACCAGCTGCCTCCTGCACACCCCCCACTGGGGATGTGCCTGCAACCAAGGTACATGCCCTTGACCGGAATCGAACCTGGGACCTTTCAGTCCGCAGACCGAAGCTCTATCCACTGAGCCAAACCGGTCCTGGCACACCCTCCCTTTTCCTAGGGAAGCCTC